TAGTCAAGACTTTTTCTGCCCAAAATTCTTCTTAGCATCTCTTTCAACACTCAAACACAGTATGAATTGCAATTTCACCCTGAACATAACACACTCGCTTTCTAGGCTTTGACCTAGCTGGACTGCAGTCTATCTGCTCCTTCTTTCTTATTGCAAATTTATAAAAAATGTAAACGTTTGGAATATGCATCAATAATGTGCCATCTTGTTTGTGGCCGCAACATCTTTGCTGAAATAAAAGTTGAATTAAATCTATCTTGACTGCTAAATTTCCTATTCATTGTGGATTGGAATTTCAACATCTCTAAGCCATCAAAATTCTTGCTGTAGTTCATTACGGATTCAACCGCCTGCATTCTAATACAGAATCTATTACGGTAAAAGTTTACACCTGCATGCCCCTTGTTTTTTGGCAATTCTTTTTTGGCCACAAATCGGTGCCAGAAGGCACGATTCAAGATGGCTGCTACACAAAACCAATAGAAATCAAACTGACACTCTGTGTCCATGTACACATCGATCTGTTTTCACTTTAAAAAAAAATCCATTGCACAAACTAGGCATTGCACACGCTTAAATTTGTCCATGTACACATCATCCATTTTCATTAAAAAAAAAAAATCAGGAAGCTAAACAAGTTAAAAACGGTAAAATTCACAATTGGGGCCCCTTGTTTCTGGCGACTGTTTTTTTTATGCCAAGATTGGCGCAGGAAGGCACAATTCAAGTGGCCACTACACAACCAAAATAAGCCAAAAATTGCACAACTCTGTGTCCATGTACACATCGATCTGTTTTCACTTAAAAAAAAAAAAACATCTTAGAATTGCAGAAACTAGGATTGCGTACTGCCTAAATTTGTCCATGACACATCAATCTATTTCATTTAAAAGATCAGGAAGCTAAAACAACTTAAAAACATCATGGTAACCAGAAGTGAGGTTTCATCACCAAAATTTTAAAAAAAAATTGTCGCTAATCGAAGGGGCACTCACTTCTACACTAGAGCCATTAAAACTATCATGGTAACCAAAAATGAGATTTCATCGCCAAAATTTAAAAAAATATATATCACTAATCGAAGGGGCACCCATTTCTACACTAGAGCCTCTATTAGATATATATATATACACACACACAAGCATACGTGAACACACACATGCATGCATATATACATTTCTGAATTGGATGCTGATAACAGAAGAATACCAAATTATTTCATGCCATAAAATGATATTCGTATTTAAATGATTTATTTGAGTATTTATCTTTTAATATGATTTTAACACAAATAAAAGCAAATTTTACTATATATATATATATTTAAAAAAAAATTAGAATGGGCAATATATTATCACACATTTAAAGAATTATCCCATTCCGATTTTTGATTAACATAAATAATGAACAATAATTCTACAAATATTTATGTTACACATAATACAAATTTTTTCATATAATATTTATTCTTTCATTCTTTCCATACTTGAAATTATAACCCATAATAATTCTTTATATAAATTATTTTTTCACTATTTCAAATATGGAAAACATGAAAATACTCTTCACACACAATTTCAAACTAAAGAAAGAAATCTACAGTATTAAGTCCGTTACCTATCCTGCATAATTAGAAAAGACCTGTAGGACATGCAGTTAACACTCCAGTCCACATGGCCATTATCATTGCACATGCTTATGCTAAATCGCCCATAGTGGGCTCGGATTAAGCGAATTACTAAGCCATCTTCGCATTCAACATGAAGCTCACGGCCTTCACAGGAATAAGTTGTTTTGGAATGAACTCGATCTTCTAAGAGAAAAATAATAATAATAATAAATAAACATGCTATTGAACAAAATATTTTACAGAACAGTCTACATATACAATCAATAAATGTGCTCAAAGACAAGCTTCCAATTAAATATATCTTAAAATAAAACTAAAATAACATTTTATTTTTCATTATTTTCTTTAAAATTTATTAAAGCAGAAAATTTCATAAATATTCACACTCTAGATACTGTGTAATTAGACATCTTAAATGAGAAAACATACAAATAACTAAAAGCTCTATATAAAGAAAAAATTTCTCTGTAATTTTAATTTGTTTCTTATAATATTGTTTTATGCTGATTTGTATTTGTAACCAGAAATTAATTAACTCAGAAATTGTTTAATAATTGTTAAATGAAATGGTGACAATAAACTATGTTGCAACAATATGTATTTATTGAAAAAAATTGGCAAATTTTTAATTTTGCTGCAGGGTCAGAAAGCACCCAACAAATGGTGGACGAAAAATTCAGGAACCTCGACAATTTCAATGTCTAGATTATTCCCCATCTACACAGACCGTATTTAAATTAAGCTTTTTATGAAAGTAAATAAGCCAACTTTGGCAAAGAAAGTTTTTACTCACTTGAAACTCTTAGAAAATTCTCAAGAATTACCAAAAATGGCAAAAAGAAATGTGCAAAACTTACAATGATGTTAATTATAAAATATTGTCAATGTTATTTTAACAGAAAATTGGTATTTCGTCAGTTTATTTTTAAAAACTATTTATTTCTTGGGTTTTTCATTAAACGGAATTTTTCAAAGAGTTAAATTTCATGAGTTTCTTATTCATTCCCTAATATAATGACCAGTGTAGGTATACAATTTACAAACATCTTTGTTTAATCATAAATTCTGATTTTAATAAATTTCTAATTTTTATTACAAATTATTACTTTAAATAGTCTTAGTTTTCATAATTTGAAATATGGAAATTGATAAATAAAATTATCTAAAACAGCTTTTGAATATAAAATTTTCCTATTTTAAGTTTTTTTTAATAATCTTTTACCAAATTCTCACCATGTTCAAATGTCTAATTATAAACATTCTGAGCTACATAATATCTAATAATAAAATGTGTGCAATCAAATATATCACTGAATAATTTTACACAATATAATGCAAAACATTAATAATTTTATCACTAAAAACTTAAATGTTAGTTCACTGCATATTTTTAATGCTGAAAAATGTTATCATCTTACAGCCATTTCCTTTCATATAAAATATAATGGAAATGTTATTTCCCAGGAATATGGTTAGTTCAAATATTTTTTGAGTTAAAATTACCTGCTGCTAATGGAGGCCTCAATGCTATAGATGGCACTGGAAGTGAAAACAGAAACAAAAAAAAAAAAGTAGAAATTAAAAAAATCATAAAATAAATAAATCATACAAAATAAAGAAAAAATAATATACAAAAATGTAAAAATCATAAATAACATAAAAGAATAACACTAAATAATAATAGTTATACGTAAAACATGTGCTTCTCTCATATGCGATTTCATAATTAATTATGCTAAAGGCATTACTTTATTATTATTGTTTCTATAATTTTTACAATATGACTTTTCATTGTTTCCAGAATATTCCTCACGACATTTTAAAAGTGGATTGATCAAGTACTACTATATAACCTGTTTCTAAAAAATAAAATTTATATTTTAAAATGATGATAATTAAGTGAAAACACGAAATTTATGATATTCATATTTTGTTTTCCCTATCTCACGTTTATTTACAAACAAACAACGTTTTAGACGGGGTAACAAAACAGTGAAGCAGAAAAACACCGAAATTAATAAATATATCATATATTCCCACTGCGTTTAAAAATGCATTAATTTACTTGCGACATAACGTGAAATATGAAACGATAGAAAGATGAACACAAACTTAAAGAACAAGATTTAAGCATAGGGAGGGGGGAAAAGAGCAAACATGTTTCCTTTAGTCTTTATATTTTTATGAATATTTAATCTTCCCTCAAGTCAGTCAAGTGTCAAATCGAATTCAATTCGCTTCTGAAGGGAAATGAGATCGGCCCATTCGTTCAAGGTCAGCCAATCGTAAGCAATCTTAAATCAAGATCTTGAGCCTCCAGGGTAAAAACGTTTGACTTTTACAAACGATTTATTGTTCTTCTAACGTAGGTTGGATTTCTTTATTTATACATTTTGTAATGGCAGCAAGAAGTACTTTGTCGATGGCTTACATGAAAACAGCGAAAGAATTATCGATTATTTTGTTTATAATTCTCTTTTATTTGTAAAATTCTAGAAACTTAATTACAAATATAAGAGAAGTTGCAGATTATTTATAAATATCCATAAGTGAAGTTTTTAAATTATACTTGTAAATAGTAAACTAATAATAATTATGCTGTTACCAAATTAATTGTCGTAATTTATACATGTTGGGTAAAGATAATGAATTTCAAAATTCCCATTGTTAAAAATAACTTCATATAAAACATTATCCATTAATTTTCAATCCTACATTAAAACAAATACATAAGTTTTAAGGGCATTTAAGAATTACGCGTTTATAATGAAAATAACTAAGTACTGTTAAAAACTTCTACATTATTTTACAATTTTTAGAATAAAGAAATTTTAGAAATTTTTAGAGTAAATTCCGCTCAACATTAATTTAGTAACAATTTAAAATTATAAAAAGTGTATTATTTAATATCTGTAGTAAAAAGAAGAATTATAAATAATCAGCTTTTAAATTATAATAAATGGAAAGCTGAACAAATTTTCTCCTTTGTTTAAAAATTTTCTATCTTCCATTTTTTGCGGAAAGACTATTTAATTACTATTAATCACAAAAAACGATCATTGGTGGGAAAAAGTAGAAAAAAAGGGGGAGGGGATAATCTGGGGGAAAAAAGCCGAAATTAATCTTAATATCAATATAATTAAGACACAATAACAATCAATATAATTATTTACTGTAATCAAAAATAAAAACAAAATTGTAATTTACAATGATAAACTACAGTTAATAAAATGATTCAGTTTTGAATAACCAATTGATTAAAATTAAATATTCTTTTTTGAAATAAAAAACATAATAAATATATAATACATTAACATCGAAGAGAAAACAAAAGATAAAAGTATAACCATTCCCTCTTTTTCAACTGAGTCATTTAAAAAAAAAAAATGCAAGTAGTAAAAAGTAAAGGCAAATACAAGAAGCAACTTCCAATCACTGCAAGCACCACAGCTAGTGCAATTGGTCCTGTACCCCAGGCGGTTTAAAAATTTTTAGGTACCTCAGACATAGCAAAGAGCAGTAAAAAGCCTAGCGCCGTCCCTGCTTCCACTGTAGCAAAAGTATCTTTAGAGGAATTCTCCATACGAATTCAAACTCATACGAATCAGGTCTAATGTATCGTTAAATTTTGTGTGTTCCTAAATGCAGAAGAATAAACAGATTGTAGCATAGCCTATGAAACTACTTATATTTATTCTTAAATATATATATATAATTTATTTACTAAAGAAATATTGATTATATTTATATATGTAAGAATAAAAGCAGAAGGAAAAACCGGTGCAATGCCGATACTTGCTTAGATCCATATTGAAGAAAAATTTTGATTGCGTAGTATGCTAATAATGTTAACTTGGTAATATCTAAAAAACATGGCAGTCGATGCAGTTTTAAACCCATTTTTATTTCCAATTGATCTTTGTGGCCACAATCACTTGGCACTCTAATCGTGCCTTTCCACAGAAGATTTACATTTTTGATATTGTTGAGATAGAAAGCAAGCCAGAGAAATTACATCTTAACAAAGTAGAGAGCAAAGCTGAAGTCCGTAGTTATGCAAGATGGAAGCACGCGAAGAGAAAAGTTTTGGTTTGCAATTCGGTGACTGGTCAAGAGGCATCTGCATTAAGGGTTACGTAAGATCGCATGATTAATTTGAATGACGCAGCTTAGACTAAAGCCCTATTTTTGGAACAGATAGATGAAGTTCCCAAAATGAAATAGAAAATACAAGAGATTTCCCCTTTCAAAAAGAAAAAGGCGAAGTGATAGAGAAGCCTTTTTGAGATAAAAAGCATTAGAGTAGCAAAAATATGAGAAATATAATTTTGAAACATATATATATGTTTATCTATTTATTTATTCTTCCAGGTAATAATTCGGTTATAAGGAGGGCCGTTCCTAGGCCATTGGCTGCCTGCGTACTTTCCTAGGATTGCCGTCCCCCCCCCCAAAAAAGCTCAATGATTAATAAAATTTTTATTTCATACTAAGTACTTACATATGACAAATTGTATACAAAGTACTTACACATGACAAGTACTTACAATGAATTTAATTAATTAAAAATGTTTAGTCGTGGTATCGCGAGTGTCCAGCCGCCCCTGATTTTCTCCCCCGCATACTTTTACGCGCTGCACCCCCGCTAGGAACGACCCTAGCCATAAGGAATGTTTCCTAAGTGTTTCTTGTTTCCAATGAAAATGCAAGTAACTAATACAAAACAGTCTATTAAATAAAGTAGATTTTTAAATCCATATTTAACCGGTAGATGGTGCTAGGTGTTCCAGCTAAGATCATACTCATCCGTCAAGAGAAAGGAACACAAGACACATGGCTTTGACAGTAAAGTGACTGTAATGGAGATAACTTGTTTTCGCAACGCTTGCGGCTATTCTTTTGATACCCTGCTCTTCAAAAAATCTGAACCGGTTTTTTTGAAGCAATTTGCGCGTCTCCGTACATGTTTTGTGTGCGAATGCCGCTGAAATTTTGGGCTGAGCTTAGCTTTCTCACCATCCATTCTCTTCACCTCTGGCCACGTTTCAGTTTTTTAAGTATCGTTGATTTCTTAGGCGCCATTAATTTCTCAACGATAAAAATATAAAGACACAAGCAAAATACATTTAATAGCACATCCAATAAATGGAAAACAACAATTCTTTCCACCCCTTTTTAAGGGCAAATTGAAACAATTGGAGGTATAATAATCGTAAAATCTTGCTCTTGAAGACAGATTGTATGTCTATTAGCACAATTATCTCATATTATATTACACTTTTTCTAAAATAGTATTTAATCATGATTTATTCAGTCTGATGTTGTAAACTTGTCACTAATGACTTATAGGAAAGGGAGAGGAAAAAAAAAAAGCCCATAACCTGAACAATTTGTAGTAGGTAACAAATCTTCTTAATGAAATAGTACATCAAAATATATTGGATAATCAAAGAAACGATTCAAGAGAGAAATACGAAACAAGCAGCTACATGCGAATGACGTTAAACACCCTTACTACACATGACTAACTATTATTATCCATGACATACACATCGAAAGCTGCTGTGCGCAGAGGTTTTCTACCTCTAAATCCACTAAATAATATGATTTTAATATGTAGTCCCCCCCCCAATTACCATGTAAACAAAACAAAAACTTAAAAACTTGAGAATTCGTTTTTAGAATAATTTATATTATATTACTGCGCAGTTGAATAAAACTGCCACGATTTACACTTTTTAGTTTAGAAGTGAAATTTGAAGTTATTCCAGAGAATCCCAATATCCCAGCGTTGAAACAATCCAAATCTTGAGCTCTTTTACTATGTACAACAACAAAAAAAAAAAAAAAAAAAAAATGTTTTTCCTTAGATTTTTTAAAAAAATATTACATAATAAATTTAATTTACCAGAAATGTTAAGATACGAAACCTGAATATCTTCTCTTACATTCTTTTTTTTTTTTTTTTTTTTTTCTTCCGCCCTTTTTTATTCTAATATTTCAGTGCCTTTATACATACATTTACGATATAAGGACTGTCCCCCCTCACTCCTTCTCGCTTGGTTTTATTTAATTGCTAATTGCATCAGACAGTCCATAGTAAAATCGATGAGAAATTTTTTTGTGGTGTTCCTTTTCCCGGGTGTACGCAGTTATTTTGCTTAATGGTTTTCTTAAGAATGTGCTTATTTTGTTTAATAGTTATCTACCTCTGCTTACGAAAGTACTTCAAGATCAGTTCCACTGGTGGCGTAGGAAATGTTCAAGTGATGCTCAAACTCAATCCATGTGTGCGGAACACATATGAGTGTCTTGCTGCCGATTACAGAAGTATTTTCATCAGGTAAGTCTTCCACTTCACGGGCCCAGCGTACCATATAGCTTGTCTTTGCTATTATGACAACCAAAATCTTAAATGGTGTTAAGCTTGGCGATCTCGGAAGCCGCATTGGTCATCGAATCTTTTGTAATGCGCTCTACAGCGAAGTGCTCAGGTCCGAATGGAATGAGTGGTTATCATAGACTACGTACATGTGCTC